CACACACACACACACACACCACCCCCTCCACAAAAAAGGTAGGATTTAAAAGTTGATCTCAACACAATGGCCCATTTTTCTCCCATTTTCCCTTTTAAAAAAAATTTGATCCAATTAAACACTTTTTTTTAAATTGCAAAAGTGCACACTTTGTGGTTTTTGGTGGGGGGTTTAACCACAATAATATTCTAATAGCATTAATGCTACTAACAGTACAGTCAAGAAGACTGGTAATTGAAATTCTAGTATTTTATCTGTGACCTATGGGCAATGGACCATACAGTTGATTCATACACCTTTGCTAACCAAATTCATCGACCTGTTATATAAAGAGTATATGCATAAAACATCTCTAAACTACACACTTTAAGCAAGATCCACTGATGCTGTAATGTAAAACTACCCTGCAGACCGCTAAACTACCCTGGCCAGTATGCCAGTCTAAATTAATGCATGACAGTCAGGCACCCTCTGTTTTTACACTGGCAGTAAAAATAAATAAATAAATTGCTGAACACTGTTTCAAGATCACAAGTTAGTGATCTTGAGACTGAAGAGCCATTTGGGGGCAATGGTTGGGAACCTACAGCAGGCAAAGGATGCTCATAATAAACTGCATAATACCCTCCTGCCACAAATATTGATGGTCTCAGTCCCCAAAATACGCCATCACACAGATAAACCTTGAGGGCTGAGGCACAGACCAATAACCGCAGTATTGAAATATTAATAAGCATAACTGCCTCCCATCTACCATCTTTCTGTGTGAAGAACAAATTACCTAGCATGCAAATCCAGATGCTGCTTAGATATGCCCTTTCAATTTTCTGCATGCAAGCGATATAAACTGATGGCCATGGAAGCAGAAAGAACACACAAAAGGAGACATAAATGAGTGAGTATGTATGAAACAAAAAACTTGATTGCTTTGATTCTAGTAAAAGCGTTGACAACATACTCCATCTTTGTAATAGCTGTTGGATAAAACCAGTAAATTAACCAGAAGCCTTGCAAGTCACACTTGATGTCTAGTTAATGTTAAAATCCTTTCAAAGGCAGCAACAATAAGCTCCAGTGGGTTTTCAGGTGCAGTATTATCCATTTTCCAGGCACTGAGAGGTGTGCATTGTGCCTTTCTGCAGCTTGATGAACTATAGTGTGTCCTGGTGCTGCGCCTGGTCATCACCTTCTTCAGCCTTGGTTTTCATCCCTTCGGCTGTTACATACCTGACTAGTTGTTTTTGCAGAGCACATCGTGTTTGTTGCTATTATCTCTTTGATAATCTTTCATCTGTCAAGTATTTCTGGCATTTGATGATATTTCAGCCAGCCTCTCCTGGTCAACAGTGAGAGCCCTGCTGACTCATTCTCATTCATGTGTGCACATCTGCTTAGTCCTGGTGTCACGGGTGTGCCCCCGTAAGAGAGCCACACTGGCCTGTGAAAAGAAATGCAACTAGCTAGCAAGCCACAGTGACATTTACAGTTCAGCAACCAAGGTTATCCTGTCTACAGATCCACACGTGCTGTGAATGGGGTGAAGAAAAAAAGCTTATTTTCCCAATTCAGATAAGAAAAGGTAACATTTGCTGGAGTGGTTTACAAACGAGAGAAAGAGAGAATCTACAGATATGGATCAGCAGGCGGGAGATGTGTCTGACATTCAAATGTATATTTGGCGATAAGAAAACCACTGTAGGAATAAGCACAGTTGTTATGATCGAAGTTAAAAATAATGATAAAAAAAGTAAATAAATAGAATACATATACTTTTTCTCCTAGAGTGGGAAGAGTGGGTGCACTTGATAGGAAACAGAGTATGGTCATCCCCTTAAGCTGATGTAGCCCTCAGCACAATCTATCAAGTATTACCTCAGTGTCTGGAACAAATTCAAGGCAAAGCACAGAAAATCCTGAATTTTATTTAGAGGGTTGCAAGTGCATCTCGCATTGAGACACTGATAAAAAAGAAACATCAGAATTTTAATTAAAATTCACCAACTATGTATATTTTATTAATTTAAGGAGAATTCAAAGTTACATGAACTCAGAGCAATCGTATATCCATCATTTTTAACGTTTCCTGCACAATCTGGTGGTACTGGTCGTTGAATAATAATAACACCAGCAATCACACTGGTTGAATATAAGTGTCACGTTAGCCATGCAGTTCCGTTTGTGTGTGTGTGTCTGCCACCAGATGAAAGACTGGAGGACAGTGCTTTTGTTAGCCACTGATAGCCTTCCCCATGTTGTCGAAATATTGAATGGCGCAACAATCGGAGAAACTGTGAAAACTCTTCTGAGCAAACAAAAGACTCGGTGTTAAAGGAGGCAAAGAATGTGAGTTAGAGCGAAACCCTGGGCAGGCATTCACACCATGGAGAAAACTTCGGGACTTGAGTTTGTTGAAAAAGCGGCTTTACGTTGGCATTATTCCCACTAGTTAGGTATGTAACAAAATATAATAATAATAGAACTAATACAAGCAGATGCTTTAGAAACTGAAAATGTCTTGTGTATGGGAAGCCTGAAGGTAAGCAGTCACTTTAACTGTCTGGAACCAGGAATCTTTGGTGTCTCAGGCAACTGTATTAACCACTATAACATGGAGCCACTACCAAACAACATTACCTTTATGCTCTAGGGCCTCTATGATAAGCATCTGTCACTATTTTCCAGCATAGACTCATTAACCCTCAGTTGGCCGTCAAAATTTACACCCTTTTATGGTCCTCGGGACCCAAAATGGTCCCCATCCAAAAGGTGATATAGCAATGGATTTTATGAATTTTTTTTTCATTTTTTTTCACATCAGATCTTTTAAACAACTTCAGACCTATCCACTGATATAAAGTTTTTCATAATTTTTTTTTCATTTTTTAGGTTTTTATGG